CCTTCCGCCTCAGCCTTCCGAGTAGCCGGAATTACAGGCATGTGCTACCACGCCCAGCTGATTTTTTGATTTATTGTAGCATACTTCTTATATAGGGCAAAACTAGGGCAAAGCTGTACGAGGAATTATTGTAAAAACAAGCAGTATCAGCTTTTGGGCCAGGCATCCAGGCCAGGTGTGATTGATATGTTGCTGCTTTATTATAAAGTAACAAATTAATATTAGGGGAGATGAGCGAACCACAGTGGAATTATGTTATTACTAGAAGGCGAGCTGTTCTGTGTTTATCTTTTTGAACCTAGGGCTTGATTGTAGCTGAGATTTTATCTGTACTATGTGCATCCGGATGTGTGGGCATTCAAGATACTGTTTTGTGTGGCAGGCTGCATTCCTCACAGCCTGCCTCTGGCTAGCATGCAGTTTCCAAGCTAGACCTTGCCTACGAGCTTGGGGTACTCAAAGCCTGCTATGTTTTATGTAGCAGGCTGCATTCCTCACCTGCCTTTGGCTAGAATGCAGAGCTTCCAGGCGAGACCATTGCCTACAAGCCTGGGGTACTCAAGGCCTGCTACAGTGGCAGTGCTTGTCTGCTCCCCACATCACGTGTGCTTCGAGATGAGGAAGTATAGGCTTGGTTCCTTGAACACAAGCCAAGAACACAAGGACCTTGTCAGCTTATGCTCTTGTCTCCTTCATTTCTCCAAGAAAAAAAAAAGTCGAAGGAGGTCCTATTCCTTATTATTAAGGAAAAACTATAAGGCACAGCAAGTCATTCAAAAAATGCTGCCCGCCAGGCTCAGTGGCTCAGCCTGTAATCCCAGCACTTTTGGGAGGCCGAGGCGAGTGGATTGCCTGAACTCAAGGGTTTGAGGCCAGCCCAGGCAACTTGGTGAGACCTCGTCTCTACAATAAATTAAAAATGAGCTGGGCGCGGTAGCATGCGCCTATAGTTCTGGTAGCTTGGAAGGCTGAGGTGGAAGGATCACCAGTGCCCAGCAGGTCATCGCTGCGGTGACTATGAGTGTGCCACTGCACTCCAGCCTGAGTGACAGGGTGAGACTCCAACTAAAAAAAAAAAAAAATGTAGCTGGGCTCGGTGGCTCAGCCTGTAATCCCACACCTTTGGGAGGCTGAGGTGAGTGGATTGCCTGAATCTGCGGGTTCGAGACCTGCCTGGGCAGTGAGACCTCATCTCTACAATAAATAAAAAAATCAGCTGGGCATGGTAGCCCATGCCTGTAGTTCCGGCTACTCGGAAGGCTGAGGTGGAAGGATCGCCAGAGCCCAGCAGGTGAGGCTACGGTGGCCGGGAGAGGCCACTGCACTCCAGTCTGGGCGACTGAGTGAGACTCCAACTCAAAGAAAAAAATAAATAAAATAAATAAATAAATAAATAATTGTTTTAAATGTAAAATGCTTAAAACATTGCTTCTTGGTCATATCACATTCAATACAGTTTCTGTCTTAGTCCATTTTGTGCTGCTATCAGAGAATACCACACACCGGGTAATTTATATAGAACAGAAGAGCTAGGAAGTCCAAAATGAAGGCACTGGCATTTAGTCATGTCATTGCATGGCAAAAGTCAGAAGGACAAGAGAGGAATCTGTCTGTACATGGCATATAAAAACATTCTCAATAGACCCCACCTTCTGCTACTGTTGTAGTGAGTATCAAGTTTCTAACACATGAATTTTTGAAAGACCTTTGCAATTGGTAACACACAGTTGCTGCCTTGTGTGTGTTAGCAGTGACCTTAGACCAGCAGCATCACATATACCTTTGTCGACACCTCAAAGCTTTGCAGAGTGCCTGGCAGGATTCTGATGGTGTACTACACATTGTATTAGGAAGCAACATGAAGCTTTTTCAGCAAAGCATGTAGTTTAAATGTATTTTGTTTTTGTTTTTGTTTTTTGAGTTGAAGTCTCACTCTGTCGCCCAGACTGGAGTGCAGTGGCCGCTCCCGGCCACCACGCCTGGCTAATTTTT